ACATAATTACTTTAGTGCGCCGCGTAGGGCACCGGTGACCTACAGGGTAGTCAAAGGCTTGATAATAGGCTGTAATACATTGATCATTTAAAAGTTGAATACGCCAATGTAGATAGTAGAGAAAGCTACAGATATTAGACGCTTACCTCTCAAATTTCACAGCAGATTCACCATGCTAACATCGCTTGGGTTGTGGTGTCGGCTTAGAAGAGCACTCCATCTCTTTACATGCGTCTCGTTACAGACGAATCAGAGAGTATAGCGATCCTGCCTATTTCTGTCGCAAAGAAAACGGCTTCTGACTTGATGGGTCAGCCGGCATCAGGTTTCAAGATATGTGGCGGCATTACCGATTTAATGTATGTGGCGTAAACGGTCCACGTCGCCCTAAACACGTCATTACGGATCCTCCCGATCCATTAACGATGCTTTTAGGTACCTCAAGCACCGGTCACCGTTCACGTCGAACTCTTCGCTTGCGACGAAGGGCTCGACGAGTAAATTAACCCATAGACATGAGTTTCTGCGGAGCACTGCTCTTGCTAGGGCCAATGCTAGCGACACTTCTGATTTGAGCCCCGTGAGCTCACCTACACGTTAGAGTGAAATTAAAGTAGTCTCTCAAGGCTATAGGCTAACCATAGGTAAGAGAAAAAAATTGTAGGAAGAATTATTATTTTTTATTGCTTAGATGATTGGACGAGCTCACAGCCCACCTGGTGTTAAGTGTTTACTGGAGCCCATAGACATCTACAACGTAAATGCGCCACCCACCTTGAGATATAAGTTCTAAGATCTCAGTATAGTTACAACGGCTGCCCTACCCTTCACACCGAAACACATAACTGAGTCGTCTATTATCAAAGGTGGCAATCTGTGCATTTGGACAAAAAAGTGCTATTGATATGGCAATACAGATTGATTTGAATATAATTGTCTCCTTTAAAGAATACGGTTCAAAACCTGCATTAAATTTTAATAAAGTATTAACTTAATCTGTTATTTATCTAAGATGTCGTTCAGAAGAGTTTTGTGACTGCCAATGTAATACAAAGTCAATAATTCGTTTTTCTGATTTACCAATAATTGTCCAAAAGTCACATTGCCAGCTTTGATAATAGTCGACTCAACTGCTTCACGGCAGGAATAGGTAAGTCGGTGGTACCTAGCCGCGCCTATTCTAGAGCATGGAGGAACGCCAGTGGCGGCGGCCAGTCAGCCTCCTCTTGTATTTCAGATTTACGAAATATGGAATTACGAATAGGCTACAGGATACGTAGCAACAATAACTCCTTTTCATACACAGCAATGAAACGCGACGCATCATAAATACCTAACAACAAGATAACCCTAAATTTTCGCAGTCAACTGTCATTATTTAATTAACTAGCGGCCCGCTCCGGCTCCGCTTGGGTCTTTAACAAACTTTTAACGATATTTGACGTTATTTTATTTTTTGAAATGAAAGAACACTTATTGCCGCATAACTATAATAGTTAGACATATGCTGTCGCGACACTTTTTCTAAATAAAAATGTGTTCTACAAAGTCGTAGGACATTATTTTATTCTATCATCAATAGTTTTCGCAGGGCACGCGATGTAAAGAATATTTTAGGTAATTTTTTTACACCTTTTACACATTATTGGAGTTTTAGTATCGATCCCAATTTTTTTTCAAATTATAGCCTATGTCACTCGGAAATAGTGTAGCTTCCAAACAGTAAAATAATTTTTCAAATCGGTTCAGTAGTTTCGGAGCCTATTCAATACAAACAAACAAACAAATCTTTCCTTTTTATAATATTAAGTATAGATTTACAAAATCGATCGGAGCTAATCATGTAAAATAAAAACTTCATTAAGCATTGATTAGATAAAGTAGCCAGGGAATTTCGTAAAACTAGGTTTTCGTAATTATAATTGATATTATAACGTATGATACTCGTATATAGGTACATACATATGTACGTGCGATATAAAGTTAACGGTATGATTATTCATGATGAGTATAACTATTTATATGACTATTCAATCCGTACATATTCGAGACAGCAAGAAAAATGGACAAACGAATTAGTATAGAAGTGATTTTTAGTGGTAGTCGTGTTTAAAATTGGGACATTACTGAGAGTTACCAACTGGTAGTACATTCTGTGTTGTGTGCCCGCACAGGTAGACACTATCCCACTTATTTCTGCCGCGAATAAGTCACGCATTGCACGATGAGACAGCCTATACCAAACATGGAAATTTCGACCTAATTCCTTAAGCCCGGTGGTAGTATTCACATTGTAATATCTCTGGACTACTGTAACCACTAGATGGGAGGTGGCCTTGCTCATGCCACTTATACAAAAAGAAAAAAAATCGAATAAATGCTTAAGCTTTTGCTGTGAAGATTCATTGCCTCTGATGATCGACCTATGTTCTTATTGTCCATTACATGGTAGCTGTCAATGACTTTTTGTTATTTAATTTAGTGATACAAAACAAATTAATACATTTTTATTATAACTAAATCATAATTTTTACTGGTGGTAGGACGTCTTGTGAGTCCGCACGGGTAGGCACCACCACCCTGCCTATTTCTGCCGTGAAGCATTTATGCGTTTCAGTTTGAAGGATAGGGCAGCCATTGTATTATAAGAAAAAAAACTGAAACCTTAGAATTCATATATCAAGGTGGGTGGCCACATTTACGCTGTTGATGTCTATGGGCTAGGATAACCAAATAACACCAGGTTGGAAATGAGCTCGTCCATCCATCCAAGCAATAAAATTATAAAACAATATTAAAGATGTTATATTGCATATTAATAGTAATAGAGCCTTTCTTTTAAGGTGGAAAGATTACTACTACGTACTATATTCTTACAGATCGCTCTTCCTGCTTAACTTTCTTTACCTGGTGACCTAGCACTGAACCACTGACTATTGTAACACAGGTTTTCCTAGCATAAAATTCATTTTGTTATTGTATACCTCATAAAAAAGCCCTGTATACTAGTGTTAAGAATTCTTGTACGTGTTTGCATTTTAAGAGGCTTGAATAAATATTATTATTATTACTGATGGCCTGCCTTTCGAGTTTCATCAGGACGGACTGTGTGCTTAGTGCGAGGTATTTAACGTTCTCTGTCCGTAAAAGTTAACTCAAATTTGTATGCAGTTGGTACAACGCTAGCGGCAAACGTTCCAACTCCATACAAATTTGAGTTAACTTTTACGCGATCGAGGACGTTATAAAACTCGCACTAAGCACACTAGAGCCTTTTTTATTTTTTTTATTGCTTAGATGGGTGGACGAGCTCACAGCCCACCTGGTGTTACGTGGTCACTAGAGCCCATAGACATCTACAACCTAAATGCGCCACCCACCTCGAGATATAAATTCTAAGATCTCAGTATAGTTACAACGGCTGCCCCACCCTTCAAACAGAAACGCATTACTGCTTCACGGCAGAAATAGGCAGGGTGGTGGTACCTACCCGTCCGGACTCTCAAGAGGTCCTACCACCAGTAACTAAGCCAGCCTAAGCTAGATGTGCGCTGTAGCCTAACTCCAAGTCTCTTGCAGTTTTTACTATGGCTGATATTATGACGTGAAAATGTAGACCTTGCGTTTATTGCCGCAATCTATCTTTATTCATCGGGTACCTACATAAATGTTATGTCACTATTGATTTTCACATAATAATATTTATGTTACGTTTTCAGCATTCAATCATAGGTTGGTATAACAAAATTAATGAGATCGTGACCGTTCTCTAACAGTCACAAATATTATGAAATCGACCTTCGATGTGATTTCTAGAGGCAATTTTCTTTGCTCATTCAAACTAAGTAAGTATCTATACTATAATATTATAAAGCTGAAGAGTTTGTTTCTTTCAACGCGCTAATCTCAGGAACTACTGGTCTGATTTGAAAAATTCTTTCAGTTTTAGATAGCCCATTTATTGAGGAAGGCTATATAGGCTATATAATCGATAATACCAATACAAGTGGAGCACCAATAAAGAAATTTTCATAGGGGTTTAAATAGCTCCTTAACATTCTACATTATAATTCAAAAATATTTTCACTTTCTACGTAAATGAAGTGGGGGGTAATATTTAGCGTTACGCCAAAGTAACTATTCAACGCGGACGGAGTCGCGGGCAAAAGCTAGTATCTATTATTGGTATAAGATTATTGTGTTAAAAGTACATTCCAAGGTACATTAACACATCATCATCATCATCATCAGCCTTTAGCTGCCCACTGCTGGACTGGCTGCCTTTCCCAATGCCTTCCACATAATGCGGTCCTCCGCCTTCCGCATCCAACGACTTCCCGCCGTGGGAGTTGGTGGGTGAGGAAAGTCCTCGAATGGAGGCCACGGATGGATACAAGGAGCGTGGGGCGTCCTCCAACCAGGTGGACTGACGACTTAGTACATTAACACGATATTTGTAAAAATCTAAAATGAAGCAATTTCTGTTATAGTTTTATGAAGATTAAACTAGTATAAGATTTGTAGATCTCAGACAAAGGCCTCAAAATGAAGTAAAAATAAATTATCGGTATAAGCAAAGTTTGTAATGCAAATGATATGAGTAGTTTAAAAGTTTTCTCTGTCTGTTTCTGGAAATTTCCAACTTTGCCATTTAATATAAGCTAGTAAATATTATCTTTAAATGATATATTGAGACAAAAGGTTGAAATAAAATAATTAGGTATATTGATAGGTATTAATATAATATTATACTTACAGTCGTGAAATGTGAAAGTATCATGTTCGAAAGAATTATTATAAAACATATAATTGCCATTTATTTAAGAAAAACCATTTTCTAAATATTATTAGTACCTTTATTACCGACACATTTTAAAACAAGAAAATGTTGTTGACAAATTACATTAAATACGGGTCCTATTAAGAGGGAGAGGGAATTTTGAAAGATTTCGAAACACCTAGGAATTCATAATATAATCCCTGTAAATTGAGATTCGATGTCACCATTTATCTTTCACAATATTGTCTATAAATTTCGTCCACCGTATTTCGAATTCATGGACTATTTTGTCTTTATTCGGATATGTGCTGTAATACAACGAATTTAATGCTAGTTTCTTCAACATTTTCAGATCCGCGTGTCTGCTAGCTACTCCAAGGAAAGTGACATAAAAATCATGGGTCAGAGGCGTTGCTTCCCAAACACCGGGATCATCACTAGACAAAACTACAGGCAGATCTTGAGCTAAAAATGCAGCTAAAGGATGATTCCTAACGTCATCAACTAATTTCAAAACAACGTTTGACACAACATTAACTTCTAAAGCTATGCCCCGCTTCTTTACCTCCTCTAAAAGCACAGGGTGCTTAATGAGAGCAAAGGCATGGCCTATTCGTTTAGTGTCAAGCGCTATTACATCTAATAAGTTTTCATCTGAACTTGTACCGTACCAGTTCGTCTCTCCGGCGTGAAAGAAGAAGTCCAATTCACTTTTTGCTTCCTCTAGCTCTGATAAAAAGTCTTTAGTTGGTGCTCCAATATCTTCTTGACCAACTAAATCAAAACCTGCTAAAAAATCTGGAGCCAATCTTTTTATTTCTTTGGCAATATCAATGTATTTTTTAACAGTTTTCGTATCCACCATTCGGAAAGGTGCATATATTAATTTAGCTCCATAAAAATCTGGATAATCCTCCATAAAGCGATCTAAGACTTCTTTATAAATTAATGCGGTTTCAACAGAATCATACACGTTTCCGTCTAAATCGTACAGTTCGGGTAAAACACTTCTAATTTCAATGTACATTACATTGTCTTCCCGAAAGGCTTTCAATGTGTCGTAGAAATATTGTTCCCATACTGGTTTGTAAGATAAAAGCGGTCCAGTCGTGATGAAGTACTGTTGGAACTTCCTCCAAGCCGCATTCACATCGGAGTAAACCTCTTTTGGATTGCTCACAACTAAAGTGAAGAGTTTTCTTAGATCCGCATCGAATTTTTCAACATTACTCGACGATAGTCTGGCATCGCTTAGTAATTGCCATTTTACTGCACAAGGAGTTTTCGGAATATTCTCGGAAAACAAAAACTGAACTTGACCTTTCTGGAAGCAAACGTACAGATCTTTCATGTAAGTTAATTCGAGGACATAATCTGGACTCAAAAGGCCCGTGTCATGAGCGTGGAGTACGGCGCCTTTCGGCATCTGCTGCAGTAGTTTGAACAACTCCGTATCCTCTACTTCGTCTTTATAATCAAAAAAGTGCTTAGATAAATTGAACGTTTGCGGATGATGAAACGCATAGTCGAGTTCCTTTATTTTCAGATCCATTATTATTTCATTCGCTTTCATTTCACTGTCACTCAAACTTATATCACTACCGAGCATCATTTTCAGTTCACGTTCGAGCAGTTTATTTCTGTCTTCGATCGCATTCTTTGCGGCGGTTGCAACAATAAAATAGAAAAGACAAATCACTATCGACATTGTAAACGTTTGTAATTGAATACAGACCAAGCAGAAAACGTTTTAAATGTATAGTGCGCACAGGCGTACTTTGATAGTGGGAGGCGAAAATCTCGCAATCAGCGATATATAGATAATTAGATAGATAAAAACACGGTATGAAATTCTGTAATGTTTGTATTTCAGTTTTAATCGATTTCAAAAAAGGGAGTTTCTCAATACGACTGACAATCGACCAATGTATTTTTTTTAATGTGTGTGTGTCCTCACCTCACAACTTTATTTATTCTTTATTGGAAAGCTAGTGTTTCGCAGGTTGTGCCATTTCAATTTTATCAAGATCTTCTCTCTGATAATTCTATTTAATAGACTTCAACCACATTGACGATGGTCTCATTTTGTTTTCTAAAAGTCGATTTTCTTTTATTAACCGTATCATGAACAAAGCGCACACGATGCTTAAAATATTTAAAGACTATCGATCCGCCCTCGCTTCGCTTCGGAAACACTAAAACACACATGAAACCAAAAAAAATAAATAAAAAAAATAAAAAAAAAGTAGCCTACGTTCATCAGGGACAACGTCGGCTTCTAATGGAAAAAGAATTTTTCAAATCGGTCCAGTAGTTTCGGAGCCTATTCGAAACAAACAAACAAACAAATCTTTCCTCTTTATAATATTAGTATAGATATTAAAACTCTGATTTTTTTTAAAAATCAGAACGCATAGCTTACGTAACTTGTAAGAAAACAATTGTAACGGGAAGCCCTGAACGACAAGATATCAGGGATAATCTACGCGATCTCCGCACAGCAACAGTGACAAAAGAACTGATTAGTGAGGCATAAAGTTAGTACGAAGCGCGGCGAGCGTATGCGGCGAATAATTCCAAGATCTCTCTGTCTTGAATAATTCCAAGGTCATATTTCTACACTGCTAAATTAACAGAATTTAAATAGCGGTTAGTTTTTGTTTTTTTTGCGTCAACAGGTTATGTTCTAGCTTCACCGAATTCAGCCTAAGAGAAATTGCTCACTCTAGCCCTAGCAAGGGCAGTGCTTCGCCGAATCTACCAGCGAATCGGAATCGGGAACCATCGAGAAGATCCGCCGAGTATCTCAGTAGATTGGGTCTGTGGGCTAAGTAAGTGTTTGGAATGCCTTAAAAGCAACGGGCAATAGTGGATCGGGAGGATCCGAAATAACCTGTTTAGGGCGAGCGGCTTGTAATCAACGTCTCAAGACGCTCATCCGCCTCTTGCTGGAAAATAGGTAGAATGGTGGTAGCCACATTTACGGGTAGCACATCCGGCTACCAGTATTTAGAGAAGGATAATTTACAGCAGAAGGATGATTTGCAGCCATTACTCAAATAGGTCCAGCTCGCATACGTGTCGCCCCTGATTAATTATTTGCTTAGATGTTTGGACTATCTTGCGGACCACCTGTTTCTAAGTACTTTTAGGAGCTCATAGATATCACAACGGAAATGCCGATATCCACTTTGAGGCATGACTTCTAAAGTTTAAATTTGAACACAAGACAGTTTCAAGATAAAAATCGCCAGAATGGTTGTACCTACTTGCCCGTGCGCGCTTAGAGCTCTATCTACACTACTTCATACATGGGCGTGCTCATGTTAAAAAAATATACCAACATTCTCTATCCATCTTTACAATGGTTCCAAAATTTTCACCTACACATAAAAATGTCGAAAATCGAAAGGCCGCATTTAATATAATTAATAATGTGACCTGCTAATAGTTGTGGGAGTCCGCTGGTTGCAGGCTGCGCAGGACCGGTTATTGTGACAAAATTTGGAGGAGGCAGGCCTATGTCCAGTAGTGGACATCCATGAGCTAAAAAGTGGCATGAAAAAATAACCGTCATCAAGTAGACTATACATTAGACACTGTATAGCCATCATACTAAGACTATACATAAATAATAAAAATCTTACGTTACGGACGTTTTTTTTCCGGTTAGGGGGTACCCCTCCGCATCGTTCCATAAGGAACTTCGTTCCAAAAACAATTCGTATGGCTCGGGACAAGGGAGCCAATTTGAGTAGCCCTCGCCATCGACACCAGTATTAGTCATGTCACCAACAATTAGAACTAATTAACTCATGTTCAGATCGAATGTTAGAATATTTTAATCAAAACAAATAGGCGTTACAATCGTTTAATATTTATTGAAATTACATTTTGTGCCTGTCAGATTTTAAAGAGCAATATTTTGTTGGTTTAATTTACTCTGATAAATTCAATAGGAGTTTCATGTAATTTTTAATGGAAACAATATTATGTTATGTGTACATTATTATTATTGACAAATATGGGTACATAGTAAAAAAAAGAATTGTATAGAACCATGTTTTTTTTTATTGCCCTTGTAGGCAGACAAGCATACGACCCACCTGATAGTGAGTGGTTACCGACGCCCATGGACTTCAGCAATGCCAGGGACAGAACCAAGCCGCTGCCTACCGCTTAAATATGCATGCATATCATGTTATATGCTAATGTTTTAAAGCAATAACGAGGCAATGCTTTTTCGCGGCAGTAACGCTATAAGCATTTAAGCGGTTGCTTATTATTGCGAGTATCTACATGCACGCTACAAAGTCAAAATTGCATCGAACATAAGCAGTTAATTATGTTTGAAGAGAACACTCATCTTACGTAGAAAATAAGGACCATTGGTTATATCAATTGTTAATATTAGGACGAAATATTTTAAGACGATGTCGGTTTAAAGCAGTTTTTTTTTTTATATCGACTGGATATATTTGGATTAGGCGATTTTTTTTTTATATTGTTTAGATGGGTGGAAGAGCTCACAGCCCACCTGGTGTTAAGTGGTTACTGGAGCCCATAGACATCTACAACGTAAATGCGCCACCCACCTTGAGATATAAGTTCTAAGGTCTCAAGTATATTTACAACGGCTGCCCCACCCTTCAAACCGAAACGCACAGTGCATATTGTAAGTTCATTCCAATGCGCTTCGGTTCGAAAGATGGGAATACTATAGCTAATATCATACACTATAAAATCCTTATTTATTTATAGCTTAAAGACGAGAACGTGATAGTCTTGGTGTGGTTATCGGTTATCGGAGTCCATAGATATTACCGCAAAGTGAATGCCACCGCCCAACTTGAGGCTTGAGGTCGAAGTCTCATTTATGTCGTGTAACGGTAGTCACAGTCTTCAAAGCGAAACACAAATCGGCAAAGCGGATAGTACCTTTACACAGCTCGCTCAAAAGATGAACAAAATGTGGCCGATTGCGTAGTGTTAGTACGTAATAAGAACGCATGCAAAAGAAATTGGTCACCGTTCTCGTCGAACCCGTCGCTTGCGACGAAGGGCTCGACGAGTAAATTAACTCTCAGACACAGCCCACTGAGTTTCTCGCCGGATCTTCTCAGTGGGTCGCGTTTCCGATCCGGTGGTAGATTCTGCGAAGCACGGCTCTTGCTAGGGTTCGTGTTAGCATCGTCGTCAGGCTTGAGCCCCGTGAGCTCACCTACTAGCCACGGTTACGCTGAAATAGCCTCTCAAGGCTATCAGCTTAGGCAGGAAAAAAAAAGCAAAAGAAAATCAGTTAAAAATTAAAGTTAATAGCCTAAAATATACGTAAAAATCAGCTTTCAGAAAATACGTGAAGTAGGTCATGATTTTATGTACCTTGAGTACCTGATACCTGAAAATTGGCCGTCTAAGCAAGGTAGCAGGTAGGGATGCGTTCTTAGTACATACTAACACTGCGCAATCGGCCACATTTCGTTCGTCAGAAAATACGTGACGTCCGGGGACGTTGGGATCTTGGACTACTAACCGTTGTTTTTAAATAGTCAACATATCTTCGATCAACAATAGTAACTAGATAAAGGGATACGTACAAAATTAAAGCAAAAACTGTCCGCGTGAATATATTCTTATATAGTTACATTCGTTTACTAACAAACGGAGAAAAAAGTTTTGAAACACTTTTACTTTCAAACTAATAACAACTATGGCACCTAGTAATAAAGTCACAAATCTCCAAAACATTATCTAATACTTACGATCATTCGTCACATAAAACGAGCAAAGCAATAAATTACTCCTGTCACTTACCAATAAAAAGACATATTTTAAACAACTTTTNATATCAATTGTTAATATTAGGACGAAATATTTTAAGACGATGTCGGTTTAAAGCAGTTTTTTTTTTATATCGACTGGATATATTTGGATTAGGCGATTTTTTTTTATATTGTTTAGATGGGTGGAAGAGCTCACAGCCCACCTGGTGTTAAGTGGTTACTGGAGCCCATAGACATCTACAACGTAAATGCGCCACCCACCTTGAGATATAAGTTCTAAGGTCTCAGTACAACGGCTGCCCCATCCTTCAAACCGAAACCAGAACCGACATTTCGTTTAATAGGCGATATTTACATACCTTTGTTATTAAAGATGCGTTTTATTTGGTATTAGCATTAACAATTCGATGTTTTTAACTTAAATTAAGTTCACTCATTCAAATAGGTAGCTGAAGAAGTTTTTTGTTTTGATATTTTTTCAAAATTTACACTTTAAATGGCTCTCCTGTAAAGTTGCAAATATGTCGCTCAAATAGGCTTTCATCCCTCGATATAAATAAGCTTTGAGGCTTGCGCCGACTGATTTTCATGATACACAAAGGAGCCTACAGTACCAGGCAATAAATATTGCACATCGATATTAAGAAAGAGACAGCCGTCTAATTTTGTTTTGTTGTATAGCGTTACCTGTATGCGACGAAACACTAAAGATCCTGTGTCTATGGAGACTAAATGTCAATTAGGTAACGTGCGACAGATATAACGCTCTACGAAGCAAAAATTAACCGTCTCTTTCCCACGGTCGATGTGCAATATTTATCGCCGGGTACTGTACTTTGATTGAATGATTGATTGAAAATTCTTTATTACACAAAAATATTGTATAAAGGCGAACTTAACGCCATGCAGGCATTCTCTTCCAGTTAACCCTCGTTGATGAAGTTAAAAATTCAAGAATTGCGTAATATATATATGCCTATAGTCGCTAAATTTAAAAGTTTATTAAAAAAACACTTCTTAAATACGTTGTAACCATTTACATAAATTAATTGTATTAATATAACCTAAATTAATAATTTATAAGCTATGTTTATATAAAGCGAGTTCATCATCATAATCGGTTGCTCTTGGCAGAGCAGTCGTGGTCATGTGGAATTCTTGCTCATTAAAGCCTTAACAGATGTTTTCCACAGTTTGCGAACCGAGGCCCGGCGCACACACTCGTTAATTGGGGTTTCAGTAAGGTCTTTCACCTGATCAGTCCAACGCATGGGGATTCGTCCACGAGATCTCTTACCATTGACCCTACCCTGAACAACAAGTTTCTCGATAGACGATATAAAGTCATGAATAAAGCGAGTTACGTGCAGTCAAACTGCGGAAGCAGTTTTGCGGGGCATAGTTTAAATGAATGTGTAACTTTTTATGAATAAATATATTACGTACATACATACTGTGTTGAAGTTAATACAGTTAGTATTTTCAATACGGAGCTGCTCTAATCAATGAACTAGTTTATTAAGGGTTGCATTTATAGTTTTTTTTTTTTATTATTGCTTAGATGATTGGACCAGCTCACAGCCCACCTGGTGTTAAGTGGTTATTGGAGCCCATACAAAATCAACAACGTAAATGCGCCACCCACCTTGAGATATAGGTTCTAAGGTCTCAAGTATAGTATGAGTAACAATTAATGAGTAACAACGGCTGCCCCACCCCTCAAACCGAAACGCATAGTGCATATTGTAAGTTCATTCCAATGCGCTTCGGTTCGAAAGATGGGAATACTATAGCTAATACCATACACTATAAAATTCTTATTTATTGGAACGAAGTTCCTTACGGCAGGCTTGGAGGAGATAGGGATTTTGCTGCGCGACCGAACTGAAAAAAAGGTGGATGGTAAAACCGTAAGAAAAAGTCCGTGGAATAAAACCGTTAAATGAGACGTGCGCAGGCGCGACAGTCGTATACACAAGCGAGTAGTGTATAATAGCTTTCTCTTTCTTTTTATTTTTTTATTGTAACAGTATTTATGGCCAGACTAAGTAGGTATAGTCTACGTGATGACGGTTATTATTATTATTCATGTAAATAGCTGTTTCTTTGTATATTATTATTATATATTTTTTATAAGTCATTGTGAATAAAATAAAGTTGATAACTTTGTAAAGTAGTTTTCTTTTTAATCAATAAAAAAAACATAATGAAAAATGTATACCTGAATAATTATTTTCTTTATACCTCGAATAGAACTTAAAATTAATATTTTTATAATAAGGAACTTCGTTCCTATCCGGTGTCCCACGACACCACACATCTTTTTATAGCTTAAAAACGAGAACGTGATAGTCTTGGTGTGGTTATCGGTTATCGGAGTCCATAGATATTACCGCAACGTCAATGCCACCGCCCAACTTGAGGCTTGAGGTCGAATTCTCATTTATGTCGTGTAACGGTAGTTACAGTCTTCAAAGCGAAACACATGAGTGTACAAATCGGCAAAGTGGATAGTACGTAGATGTCTATGGGTTCTAGTAAGTACTTAACACCAGGTGGGCTGTGAGCTCGTCCACACATCTAAGCAATAAATAAATAAATCCTATACATGCTCGCTCAAAAGATCCGCGATCACTAACAGTTGTTTTTAAATTGTCAACAAATATATTATAATATGTACATATATAACCTATTTATTATAGTATTTTCGACGGTGTTCTCGGGTTGTAGACATAAATAATACTATGTAGGGGTTTTATTATATACATATAACAGATACTGTAACGCATTCCAAGTGTCGGAAATAATATACGAATGACAATCAAAAACATTAGAAAATAATTATTATGTAATGTGCTACATATATCCTATTTTATTTCTATTTATATTTAATCAAGAAAATTATTGTGTGATTTGTGCTTCTGTGATTTTTCTAAGCATGTTTATCTTTCACAGCATTAATGAATTGTGACCATCGGCTTTCGAATTCAGCAATCATTTTGTTTTTGTCCGAATACGTACTGTAGCGTATCGAATTCAGAGCGAGCTTTTTCAGAAGCCTCAGGTCTGCATGGCGGCTGGCTACTCCAACGAATGCGGCATAGAAGTCATGGGACAAAGGGTCCGCTTCCCATGCACCGCGATCATCACTCGACACCACGACAGGCAAGCCTTGCGCTAAATAAGACGAAAGCGGGTGATTCCTAATATCACTGACCAAACAAAGAACATTATTGGAAATTACATTCACTTCTATGGCGATATCTCTCTTTCTTACTTCATCTATTAAAAGTGGATGCTTTATCAGAGCGAATCCGTGACCGATACGTTTAGTATCCAGAGCCAAAGCGTCATACAGGTTTTCGTCTGAATCCATTCCGTTCCAATTAGTTTCGGCGGCATGGAAATAGTAGTTTAAGTTATCTTTTTCATTGACCAGCTGTGGTAGAAAATGTTTGTTTGGCGGTCCCGCATCCTCGTGATTGACTAGATCGAAACCAGCAAAGAAATCCGGTAGCTTACGTTTGATTTCTTTTGCGAATCTCAAATATTCATCGAAAGTAAATTGCTCTGTCCCTCTAGACGGCGCGTAAATAAGTTTCGCACCCATAAAATCTGGATAATCATGCATGAATTGTTCAGTTACTTTCTGATATGATTCAGCGGTTGCTACTGGGTCATACACGTTTCCATCTAAATCGTAAAGCGTTGGTAAAATACTTCTCACTTCAAGAAAGAATACATTGTCATGACGATACTCCTTTAGCGCGTCATAAAAGTATTGCTCCCATGCCGGTTTGTAAGAGACAATTGATAAAATTGTTTTGAAGTACTTCTTGAAGCTCTTCCAAATGGCATTATTATCTGGGTACTTCTTTACATAATCATCTACGACTAACGTGAACTCTTTTCGGAGGTGATCATCGAATTCATCAACGTTACCCGATGAGTATCTTGCTTCTTTAACAAGCTGCCATTTTGTTGCACACGGTGTAGTAGGTAAAGTCTTCGCAAATCTAAATAATACTTCGTCGTCAATAAAACAAATATACAAATCTTTCCAGTATGTTAATTCTAATACGTAATCTGGACCTAAGAGTGAAGTATCGTGGGCATGAAGCACCGCACCTTTTGGCATTTTTTTAATCAGCTTGTACAGTTCAGTTTTCTTGACATCATCTTTGTATTCAAAGAAGTGTTTGGATAAAACAAAAGGACGTCTGTGCCGGAATCCTTGGTCTAGTTCTTTCGTTTTAAGTTTCATAAATATCTCGTTGACTTTAGTTTCGTTTTCATTCAATACAATGTCGCGTCCGAGCATCATTTCCAATTCTTTTTCAAATAGTTCATTTCTTTTCTTCTTTACTGTTTCGTGGGTTGTGTTGCAAAACGCTTGCATTATGATGCTCAGCCATAAGAACACAGTCAATTTTGTTGGCATCTTCTTTATTACCTCGAAATTCTGGAAAAAAAAGCAACGAGAAATTCAAAATTCAATTTTGAAACAATAATTTACAACAACAATAATTTCTTGATAACATCATTTAATTAGGAGTATAATACTACATAGTAGTACATAGTTACATCCACGAAGGTAAGTTTTTGCATCGTATGGTTTTTTTTTGTCAGACCGACGATCCAAATGTTGTTGTTCTGAATTTGTATACCTATGAGCCAAATTATCTTAGAAACGTTCTTAGAGTGGATCAGATATTTGCCAAAATTTGATCCGTTCTGCAATAGCGGCCGCTACGCACGATTTACCGATAATAATCTACTTCATTATTAAAATTAAAATTGCGATGAACAGTGATCTGAAGTCTATCAGTGAATGGGCAAAAGCCTACGGTCTGCACATTAATCCGAGAAAATCACAGGCTATCATTATAGGGGGTAAACAATTGCGCAGTAGACTCAGCGATCCTATACTCCCCCCAATTTATTTGGATGGGACTCAAATAACTCTAACCGATTCAGTTAAAAACCTGGGTGTTATTGTAGATCGACATCTTTCGTGGAGTTCTCACGTTGCTGAGATTAGTAGGAAGGTGCACTTTGCCTTGCACTCGTTGAGATGTCTGCAGGGCTTCTTACCTCAGCATACAAAAATATCTCTCGTCCAAGCTCTCATTCTACCCATAATTGATTACGCCGATGCCTGCTACTTGGATGCCACTGAGGAGCTCTCAAACAAGCTTGAGAGGATGCAAAATCTATGTATCCGTTTTATATACAATCTCAGAAAATTCGATCATGTTTCTCATTTTCGCAAAGAACTTAAATGGCTCCCTATACGCCTTCGTAGGAATACTCGAATATTATGTCTCCTATTCAATATCCTACATAAGCCCACTTCTCCCTTATATTTACGTGAGCGATTCTCTTTCATTCGTTCTCCTGATGCTCCCTGCAGGTCCAACCAACGTTCTGTTTTGTTATTCCCTTCCCACAAAACCAATTTCTATTCTCACTCCTTTACTGTGCACGCGGTCAGACTGTGGAATTCGTTGCCGGCTGACATCCGAGTTTGCAAGTCTGTTTCTGTTTTTAAATACAAGGTCAAACAATTTTATCTATCATCAACCGAATGATCATGGTTCTATACTCTTCGCATATACGAGTGTTACTGTGTTACTTATAATATTTGCTATGTGTATGTGCTATAATTCTCATGTTGTATTTGTTATTTTAGTTATGTGTTCTACACACACTTATCACTTTTTATTATTATTCTCATTATCCTCTCGCAGGTCTGCTGGAAGAGATTTCTCAAAGAAATAAGCAGTGCCTTTGTACATAATTTTCCTATTACTCTGTACTGTGTCTTGTTTTCTGTGTGTACATAAATAAATAAATAAAATAAATAAATAAATTATTTACATTTAAAACAACTGCCAAGGAAATTTTTGCTTTTTAACCAAGGAAATACAAAAATCGTTACTTCTAAAGTCGGTGTTGCACTATTACTTAGCCGCCGAGTACATAAAGGCCATTTCGATTATGATTTAGGGGACTTGCAATCAGGAGATTAAAGGGAAGGTGCTAAAAGTGCGCTTTGTCTGTCTCGCAAATTCCACATCTAAATATCATACGTGAGTTGTATGTCGCCGCCATTTTTTTTTTTCTTTTTACGAATGCATACCGCGGGGCGGTACTTTAGAGCACCACTTAATGCTTCCCCAACCCTTTGCATAAAATCAGCATGGCGGATGACGTAGCCTTTATATTTCTTTTTACTTTTTTTTTTAGTTTCTCCCGAGTCCCGGGCAATGCTTTGAAAGCTAAACCCCTTTTCATAGACGTCACTGGCTGTAAATTACACCATTTCGTTTTATTAATTTAAATCGTTGCATTTATAGGAATTTACTTTTCAAATATGTACTCATTGCTGTTCTTTTTCCAAAAAATCCAAAAATGACTTTGCCAAGTTTTCGAGAACTGTCAATTTTAAACTAGAAAGAATTTTTTAATTTAAATTTGAACAAAACGTCAAAATATTTAGAAGACGAATATTATTAAAAGTGAAAAAAAAAATGTTTTTTTTGTTCCATTGCTTAAAATCGAAAATGTACTTATTTATGTACTATGAGGGATTATTAAAACTTCATTTTGAATACGATAATTTCGCTACGTACTCGCGCGTATGACTCCTCGATCCGTAAATAGCACTTATTCCTTTATTATTAAACCGATGATCATGATCAATGCGGGCAACGCCCCGGTCCACTAAGCGTCAGTATTCACTTAAACACGTTACAGATCGTACGTCTCACTGTCTCAGTATTGCTGCATAGAGTATGTTTAAAATAATATTATTCGCTTCCTTCGTCGTCTGCATCGTAGCCGATCCGCCTGACATCAACGAATACCATAGAAGAAGGAATACTCTCTCAAGAAATGAGCTACGGTTGACCGTTGGCGGTAATATGACGCTTAGCGACAAAGAAAGCGAAGTAAACAACTGCATTATGCAACTTAAATTCCAAGAAATTGATTACGCGTTCGATCACCCGCGCTATTACAATTTTTCGCAACACTACTTCGAATACAAAGACACAATGAGAAAGAGGAAACTGTACCAGATTTTGAAGGTTATGCCGAAGGGAGCGTTGTTACACGTGCACGATATGTCTTTGCTCGGACCCGATTATCTCATGAACATCACGTACATGCAAGATCTTTACGTGTGCCTGTACAAAGAAACAGTCGGATTTCGTTTCTCGAGCAAAACACCCAACGCGCCCTGCAAAGGGAAATGGCAAGATATTTCTAAAGTCCGATCCTCGGTAGAAAACGTTACGAAGTTCGATGAAGAATTGCGGAAACATTTCACGCTGGTGGTCGACGATCCAGATACAGTATACGGATGTATTACGGATACATGGACTAAGTTCATGGACTACTTTCTTACTGTTGATCCGTTGCTAACGTACCGGCCGGTGTGGGAGAAATATTTCTATGACGCCTTGATGAAGTTTAGAGAGGATAACGTTTTGTATGTTGAATTTAGGAGCGTCTTACCGAGCCTGTATGAACTCGACGGAACTTCGTTCGACCCTGTTGTAACCGCAAAAGCATACAGGAAGGTTATACGAAAGTTCGTCAAAGATTATCCTGATTTCATAGGAGCCAAACTAATATACGCGCCATCGAGGAGAGTGAACCGAAGCGTTTTGTCAACGTATCTCCAGATAGCCAAGGACGTCAAGAAGGACATGCCCGATATTTTTGCTGGATTCGATCTAGTCGGACAGGAGGATCTGGGAGAGCCTTTAATCGAATTCGCACCCCAGTTACTGGAAGCCAGCGAGAGCTTGGACTACTTCTTCCACGCCGGTGAAACTGATTGGCTGGGAACGTTAACGGACGAGAATTTGATGGACGCTATTTTATTGGGTGCGAAAAGGATTGGACACGCCTACGCTTTGGCCAAACATCCTCTGCTGCTAGAGGAAGTGATCAAGAATGATATTGGTTTGGAAATCAATATAATATCGAATGCGGTGCTGTCATTAGTACGCGATGTCAGGAATCATCCTTTCAGTACGTTTCTGTCTAAAGGATTACCTGTTGTTATATCAAGCGACGATCCAGGAGCATGGGAGGCGGAACCCTTGACGGACGATTTCTATGTTGCTTTTGTTGGAGCGGCCAGCCGACTCGCCGACTTAAGACTACTGAAACAGTTAGCATTAAATTCGTTTACTTACAGTTCACTCGAAGATCGCCAGAAGATAGAAGCGCTAAGGAGATTCAAGAGAAATTGGGATAGTTTCATCAATAATTTTAAGTGTCCTCTGTAATAAATCTTTATGTTACTTCTTAGTCATTACATATTCACTTGTAAGCTGTATGCATTCGATTATTCTAATATAAATAATTTTCATAATAAAGTTTTTATAAGTACTTTATGTTTGGAGTTTTATATGTTGTGAGCTTCTAAATTCGTTATCGAATAATTAACAAAATTCAAATGACAGTAGAATTTGGGAACATTTTTAATACATGTAAAATGGTTTTTAAAGTGTAGAGCGGTATTTATTTTTAAAATATATCTAAAGATAAAGTAGCGAAAAACAAATTAATGTTACTCATTTTATTTTAAACTTACTTCATTCAGAGGTCGTCGAACTCTTCATTATTTATTTTTATAAATATTTATTTTACTTAACTTTTGTTCTTGGAAATTTTAACAAAAAATCAATTAATATCATCATTATACCAAAGTATACTCAATAAGTTACAGAATATGCAAACTGAAAGTCATTCATAAAAGTTCCTGTATATTAAATCAATTTAATGTGCATGATGCAACCCTAATGACTTCATTTTGATCACATAAAAGATAGAAAGCTTAGATAATCTTTAAATAAATTCAATCGATTACAAGTTGTTATGTTGCGTGTATTAAGAGACGATGACTCCTTTCCTATATAGTGTATTTTTTTCTTTCAGAACTACCTAATCGTTTTTTTTTTTGTTATAGAGTACCGAAAGCACACGAGACAAGGACAAATACATCTATCTCCTGACCTCCAAATATCCTTAACAATACGACTGACACTTAAATCGCACGTCTCAAGGTGGACCGGGGATTTCACGTTATAGTGTCTACGGTTTCTTGTAACCACCAGGTGGGTCGTAACCTCGTTTGATCATAAACATGAAATACAATAATTAAAAAAAACAAAATATACATTGAATTTGAAGTACGTAGGCAATCGTTTTATGAACACTACAGTTGACAAGAGCAACGACAATATCTTCTCTATATATAAAAATGAATTGCTGTCCGTTAGTCTCGCTAAAACTCGACTACGGCTGGACCGATTTGGCTAATTTTGGTTTTGAATTATTTGTGGAAGTCCAGAGAAGGTTCAAAAGGTAGATGAATATAAAAATGCTCGGAATTAAATAAAAGTAACAATTTTGTTTTTGCCCCGGTGTCCCCCGTCGGTCTTTTATTTATCGATTGAGGCACTACGAAGTCTGCCGTGTCAGCTAGTAAAAAATAAAATAATGGTTGAATTTTTTAATCATATTATTATTCAATACCCATCATCATGGTTCCAAGCCGGTTTCGGGCAACCGCGACCAAATTTTTTTTATAACTTAAGCTTAATAACTTAAATGTAATGTCCGCTACTCTCATGCGCTCTAATATGGCTATGATAGCTTATCTTGTTGTTAAACGTAACAGAAGCTACACTTAAGAACACCACCCACGAAGTTGTAAAAAACGGTGGAAGGCGGTCTATTGCCATTATTCAATAAGTACGTTACTTTGTACCAAGTCAAATTGTAGTAGAAAATATTTAGTGCACCTCTGCGGGAGACATTTAACGACTGTGACAGTAGACATCTGTGTGCTTAGTGCGAGTTTTTTAACGTTCTCGATAGCGTGAAAGTTAACTCAAGTATGCAGTTGGAACAGCGCCCCTAGCGGCAAACGTAGGCAAACGTTCCAAGTCCATACAGATTTGAGTTAACTTTTACGCTATCGAGAACGTTAAAAACTCGCAATAAGCACACTGCACGTTTCGTTTGCGAGCTGACAAAAGAAAGAGACCGAAACAAGTGTAACTATGAAAAACGACACCAAAAACGACTTTTTTTGTAGTGAATGTAATTTATTTTGTACCCACTCTTTATTTTTTATTCAATCAATACTTAATACAAACACAAAAAGAATATAGCAAAAGGAACTCGATTCCAAAAAGTATTAAACACCTCTCTCTTTTACTTTGAGACATCAGATCGAAGATTGAATATTAATTTAGTTTACAATGTTATTGCGAAGAGCTCCGTTCTAGCTGAAATAAATAATTATTTCGCTAGAGAAATAGACAGGACTATGGTACCCAACCATGCAGGTTTCCAATTACTAGTGATCCCGCAGTAGTCAAAATTTGACTATAATGAATTGAAATTATAAGTTTCAACATTATTATGGTCCGATTGTTACAGATTTCACCAAGACTACACTATAGACAAATACTCGTAATATTAAAGATAAACAGTACTAACCTATTCTCAATTTGACTACAGACTTTAAGCAATAAACAAAGCGTATACGTGTGTGTGTGTGTCAAATACATGGTAGTGTGTGTAGTGTTTTCTTTATTGATTTAATGTATCTTTTATGCATTAAAAAAATATTAGCACTGCGCACTTCTTCTCTATATTCTCTATAAGTGTGGAAAATTTCATACTCCTCCGTCCGCCCAATTTTCGTAAAAAGGGATACAAAGTTTTTGCTTCACGTATTAATATATAGATATGTGAGTAGGTACCACAAAAGAGTAACACAGTAGTCAAATACATCATAACAAAACAGTAAGGCACAGTTAAAAAATAAATTATACGTCTCATTTAGAGATGCACTCCGCTCGTGTATAAGACCGAATGGAAAACGAGTATTTTGAGCTTTCAATGCAATATAGACTCAAGAACGTGGTGATAGAAGCACGTTTGCTTGTTCCCGTGAAAGGTACCATGTAATTTCAAGGATTGTACAACAAACCGTGGAGTGACACCCTTCAAAGAAGGGCCCTTGCAACTAACGAACTCATTGTAGCATCTGGTTTTAGTGCTTGTACTGTAGTCTGTTCGCAACTGTGACGCGATATTTTTTTTTTAATTTTTTATTGCTTAGATGGGTGGACGAGCTCACAGCCCACCTGGTGTTAAGTGGTTACTGGAGCCCATAGACATCCACAACGTAAATGCGCCATCCACCTTGAGATATAAGTTCTAACGTCTCAAGTATATACCTACTTATCATTACATACTACATTATTGTATGTTTTTTATGTAAACGTGGAAGTACTCATATCATATCATAGTACCTGAGCTCACTATTGTATAAGTATGAAGACAATGAGGTCTGAATTTACTTTTACACTGGCCTCATAGGCAAAAACAAAACGCGCAATAATAATGTTGACAGAGCCATCTGTTATATATGGGCGGAACTATGGATAGGCCGGTTTTGCATCAAAATTTATTATGTTTTAAATAAATTGCTACTAAAACCAAGAATATCAAAAAATGTATGATAGACCACTTTTGTGCTGACGGCCTCATATATCATATACTTATTCAACGGTAAATAAAAATAATAATAATAATGGTTGGTTCGAAGTACCTAATTGAATGGAATATTTTAAATATACTGAGTCTGGCCATAAATACTGTTACAATAAAAAATATAAAAAAATCTATTGCAAAAAACATCTATTACTTTTACAGTGTGTTAGTTTATACATAAATATAAAACAATTTAAAGTATAAAAAGCTTATTCGAAGTGGTCTCCATTGGCTGCACTACAGTCCTTTAAACGTTGAGGCCAGTTATCAATAGAAGCACGCAATCTTTCCATGGGAAAAATTTTCACTGCCAATCGTACGGATTGTTTTAGGTACTCCAAATTATCATGGCGTTTAGAGCAAGCCGTACTCTCTAAAACTGACCATATATTATAATCCAGCGGATTAAGATCGGGACTAGACGACGGCCAGTCTTCAGCTCTGATGAAGTCCGAAACGTTCGTTTCCAATCAAGACTGCGTAGACCGAGCTTTATGACCTGGCGCTGAGTCTTGCTGGAAGGACCATTCTTGATTATTAAACATGGTGGTGTTAAGGGGCTACACTACCTTCTCAAGAATGGTATCTTGATACACTTGTGCCGATGTTTTGATACCTTTTTCACCAAAGTATGGCTCAGTCACTCCTTCATAGCTAATACCCCACCAAACCATCACTGAAGTTGGATAGTGCCCACGTGGCACTCTGTCAACTATCTGGGAAGCTTCCTTAGAGCTTTGAGCATAAAGATGACCATAGTAATTTTGTTTGTTAAAATGTTGCTCAATTGTAAAAAAATTCTCATCCGTAAACAAAAATTTTTGATCTGCTTTGACCACCTTTTTCGTACGAACACTACGTGGACGGCCAGATCTTTTTCTGTCACAAACAGAGGAGGTCTCATTGCACCTATTAATAGCCCGGTACGCAAACATTTTACTAATACCAAGCGTGTGGAGAGTTTTAAAAATTGCATTTGGCACCATACCTACTTTGTGTAATGCAATCACAGAGATTCGGTTCTCTTTATCACCCCACTCCATTTTAATATCGCAAATTATTGTACAATGTATTGGCGCCAAAATGAGAAAACACAATGAGCAGTCATATAAAAACGACAGATTCCAAATTCAAATGTAATATTTTGTTTATTTTTAATTGTAACAGTATTTATGGCCAGCCTAAGTATGTATCCTATTCTTATATATATATATTAAATTAACGAATAAAGCTAATTTATACCTTATCATCAAGCTAAGCACCAACGACAACACCTATCATATATTTTTTACGTTTTATTTATCCTTCAATAACTTATATTTGCTTCGCAAAAATTCACATCGCCAATCCGACTGCACAATGAGCTAATATCATTGTTATCAGTAATTAATTTTTATTATCATAACACGACAAAATGTGTTCACATGGAATATTATTTATGATGAATAAACATAGAACGGTCTCCTGTATTTACCATATTTATCATTATTTGCATTATGTACACCAAAATGAATTTTGTTCACAATAAAAATGTTCACGGTGGAAAAACTGCTCAGCTTATTTTAAATAGTTAACAA